TATATATATCCCTGTTTGTTACGTGTTTGTATTTTTGGTTACAAAATCCTTCAGCAGAACATTCAGCAAACCTTAAAGGCTCCTGGGGTAATGAAGGAGATGTTGTTGTGGTCCAGAGAGAGAGACTTGAGGGAGGGCAGAGTACCAAAGGCCCTTTCTGACAAGAACTTGAGCCTGTTTTTGTCCAGGTTGATGGCGGAGGCCTCACACGGAAACTCTTTGGGCAGCTCAGGCAGGCCGGAGCGGTCGCAGAGCACGCTGCAGCTCTTCTCCTGCGTGCAGGTGCAGGATGGTGGGCAGGCGCGAACACAAGCCCACCGTGCCAGCACCGCCTGAGGCAGCAGGCAAAGCACAGAGACTGAAAGGAGGACAGGATGGGTGTTATTTCAGAGTGTGGTGGTACTTTCAGTATTTTTACAGGAATTGAAAGGCTTGTTCTACACATGTGGTGAAAGAGTGTTGGAGGCCTAATTCTAACTAAACAAGTGCACTAAGTAAGAAATGTGAGCTAATGCATACTAAATGAGCCACCAAAAAGTCAACTGGTGTTAATATTGTTGTCTATGATGTCATCTTATGTACTATTAACAATATTTTCTTTTTTTATTAATCAGGTCATCGGATGATTTGAAATTAAAAGTGACACAAATATATACGTTGTATAAATTTATACCATGTTGTTTCTTTATTTCATGTGTCTACTCTTAGTCTTTAACTAAATATTTAGGCTGCAGTGTTTTTCATAACTGTTTTTTAAATGTAGTCAATGAATTAAAAAAATCACATTAAAAAATGTAATGAAACAAATAAAAAATAAATAAAGGACAATAAGCTCTACTTGTTGCAATATAATCTAGTTTAGAGTTGTGAAAGAAGTTTTAGCAGCAGATTTTCATCACCCTGACGACGCACCTTTCTGTAGTATGACCCTTTTCAAACTACAGGGCTTTACCACATGCCCTTATATCAAGCACTATTATAATTATTATTATATAATGCTTCAGTTTCTCTATATCAAGACAGAAAACCTTTCACACTCCTGCCCATTTAAAAAAACCATCAGTTGCACAATGTAACAAAAGGAGTTGGGCTCATAACTTGTTGGAGCAACTTTTTGTAGTTTTGTCATCATAAACCATCACAATCAACACGTGAATGGTTGCAAACCTTCAACTTTAACTGAAAGGGTTTTACAAAACTTTTCATCCCCTATTTCCAGTCAAAAATTGACTGGAAAATTGCCTAACAAGCAGTTTCGTGGTCAGATGAAACTGTATCATGACAAATGAAGCAGACATAATATCTGAAGTTATTTTATTTTATAGCTTTTCGTTGTAATTTTAAATATCAGGCCAAAAGAGATGTTGATAAAAGTTAGGGAGGCCATCATTACTGACTGGTGTAGAGTCAACAACCTGTCTCTCCCCTCTTCCCTCCATCACGGACACTGATAGCACCCGCTCCATCCGCAAAGCCACCAGCATTGTGGAGGACCCCACACACCGCTCACACACACTCTTCACCGTGCTGCCTTCTGGAAAGAGGTACCGGAGCATCCGGGCCTCACTACCAGACTACAGAACAGTTTCTTACTCCAAGCCGTCAGACTCCTGAACACTGTGACTGGACTGACACACGTGCACACCTTCATACATGTCACTACCAAGCACTTATCTGCAGTATCTCACACTCATACACACACACACCTACAGACACCAAGTTACTTTTGCACAATACTCAGCATTTTGCACATTTCCACTGCACTGTCTTGTGTCTGTATCGTCCTGTTCTGTCTAGTGTTGCACTGTCTTAAATCAATGATCTGATACATTGTTAAAAAAAAGAATAAACTGACCAGCTCAGTAGCACCAAAAGGCCTGAAACATTACAGAAGACAACCAAAGGACGTGATGACAGAATTATTTTCATGATTAAGAAAAACAACTTCTATCCATCCATCCATCCATCCATCTTCATCCGCTTTATCCGAGGCCGGGTCGCGGGGGCAGCAGCCTAAGCAAAGAGGCCCAGACCTCCCTCTCCCCAGCCACCTCCTCCAGCTTATCCGGGGGAATACTAAGGCGTTCCCATGCCAGCCGAG